CTAAAACACACTTCACTATTAAACTGTATTAAAATATAAAATTTCCACTTAAAAGAACTATCACATTATTAAAATGACTTTAATAGTAGAATAGTTAATTGTCAACAGTTGTCACAGTTATTCATTGAAGCAGTAACTCAATCTACATTGAATTTGAAAACTAAAATTGCAAAAATTAGACTAGACAGTTATATAATACACATCAATTATCTGCTGCTTTTTCATTTACAAAAGGTGAGGTCAAGTTTTAGATAATTTCCGATTATGCAATCTTTTTACTCAGGATAAGAAGTAAATTAGCGAAACTTGACCTCACCCAGTGATTAAATAATAAAAAGGAAACAAAACAATTTGACTAAAAAAGACTAGATTGACAAATTTTGTGACAAACTCTTGTGCTATATTGAATATGTTTATTATGGGCCTGTGAATTATGTTTAATTCAAAAATATTCACTGGACATCATCCATCCTTGGTGAAGTGTTCATCCATAGTTACGACTGGCATCAATCTTTCACCATCATCGTTTCTTGGAAGGATAATTGCAGACAGATCAACCTCATCCTCATCTAGCCACTCAACATCCTCTGAATGTGCATTTTCTCTTCTGGCAATAACTGCCATGAGTTCTCTTTGCCTTCTAGCAGCGATTCTCAAAGGCCTGATGCTTTTTATCTGAGTTGATTCTGGAACAGTTTGGGTTGGCACATTCTCCCCTGCCTGAGCTCTGTGTTGTTCTGCATGTTTCTTCGACATTGTTTGTGAGGCAAAGTATAAGTGACATACTTTGCAAATTCGATCAAGTAAGCTGGTCTGTAAAGATAATATATTTGTACTTTGAAAACTCCTGTTGATCTCGGCAATGCTATACATAAAACAAGGCTTCACAACAGCATACTAGCGCTCCTAGCGAGAGGAATCGTATAACAACACATTCAGGCGATACGCATTTCATGCTATTTTGACATAAAACTAATTCAAATATTTGAGAAAATTTTTGAAAATTGTTTTTAAAGCTATTAAATTCTACTAAAAAAATAAAAAATAAATTAGAAATACAATTTTAAAAAATAAATGTGTGACGTCACATATGGCCTGAGCCCCCCCCCCCCTCCCCCATCACAAACTGTCACACTTTCTTACACCCCCTCCCTCCCTCTGAACCGTGACTACTTTATGGACGGCCCCTTAACCAGCTTTATGTGTAATTTCAAAAAAAAAAAAAATAAAATAGAAAAACAAATTTAAAAAAAAAATGGCTTACGTCAACTATGGCCCGCGCCCCCCCCCCCCTCCCCCATCACAAACTGTCACACTTTCTTACACCCCCTCCCTCCCTCTGAACCGTGACTACTTTATGGACGGCCCCTTAACCAGCTTTATGTGTAATTTCATGCATATAAAAAAAACAACTACGTTTCAATGACAATCACATTAAGACATTGCAAAGTTGAGAAGATGACTTCTGAATTATAAAGAAAATATAAGTAATATCAGTCAAAAAGGAAATGACATTGCAAAGAATATTTGAAAAAAAGAGAAGACTAGACTTTTGCACAGTTTAGACATGTAACCAATAAATTGATCAGAAAGAGAGGTAAATAATACAGTGCTAAAATTTACAAAAAAACAACTGTAATGAATTGAGTATGTTTGTTGCCATAAACATAATTTTAGCTTAATAAATACATTATGTGTCTCTAACAGAGAAAATTTAAAACCAGCTTATATGCTATTATAATGCTAATCAAATGTAGCTTGTTGTATTATAACATTTTTTTGGGTTTTTGTGATTAAAATTTCATTTGTTGACTCAAGTCAAAAAATAATTCAAATTGTCAATTTTTTTTTGTATAATAAGATTGATATTCAATAATTTTATGGTGTATAATATCACAAAGTAACATTTTAAATTTACAATATGAATACGATAAGATTATAAACAAATATATAAACAGAGTAAAAAAAGAGTAAAGAGGAAATGATACTAATGCACATTCTATTATGGTTTGCTCATTGATATATTAAAACTTATTACATCTGCAGTTGCATATTATCTGCATTAATTATGTTAAATATTGCTCTTTTATAAAATATACTTAAAATGAGTCTCAAATTCTTTAAGTTTTCATGAACATTATGACACCAGTTACATTAGCTTAGAATATCAATTTTTTTTCACTATGCTTAAGAGATAACAAGGTCTATTTATATGCATTTTAATATTTTCTCTAATAAAATTAGAGATAATTTGTATGGGATAATAGTAGTGTCGAAAATTGTATTGCAAAAATATATTTTGCAAAAAAAAAAAAAAACCTTGGGTAAATCTTGAAAAACGTTTATGTCATTACAATGTGAATTAAGCAACAAATTTAATTAAGATAATAATAAGTTTACAAACTTCAAATAATAATTTTACAGATCAATACTAAAAGTATCCATATATAGTTAAAAGAACTTCTTTCTGTCTATTCACCCCTTCGACAGCTTCGCTCCTCTGCAGACATGCGTATTCTGTCCGTTCCCAAGACACGCACTAAAACATATGGTGAACGATCTTTCTCTTTCTGCACCCCAAACAATGGAATTCTTTGCCACTACACATACGCAATATACCAACTACCCAGGCCTTCAAAACTGCACTAAAAACATATCTTTTTAAATTATACTACCCTGACTGATTCCCCTCCTTTGACCGATAAATGATCTTGCTGGCTGCCGTCCATGGTTTGCCTTGTAAAAGTTACATATACATTGTTGTTCTTTATTTCATAAATGTATTTTATTTTAATGTCATGATTATGTCTCTTTTGATAAAATTTTTATGTACAGCGCGGTGAGCCCAGCCCTAGGCTGGGGTACCGCGCTATACAAGACCTCTTATTATTATTATTATTATTATTATTAAGTATTGGTTAGCAAACATAAATAATCAAAGGAAGGAGGGATGGACAAATTGTGTTATTGAACAATAACATTTAAAATCCAGTAATAATAAAAAATTAAATAAGAATTAAATTAAGTTAAGTAAATGTCAATCATCAAAATGGGTTAAAATTGACATATCAAAATGCAACACATCAGTAATATATGTAAACATTTTCTGCCCCATTGTTTATACCAATATGGCAATAGGGAATTAATTGGCATGAAAACTATATATATATATATATATCTTGATCTGTAATGAGATATAATTTTTTCATTATGCTAATTCAGTAAAATGAATTAAGATATGCTCATCAACATGTTTTTTTTTTTTTACAGGCCAACAGATGCTTTTTTTTATGTGCTAATTTTATCAAGACACTTGCATTTTTAAAATACTTATTATATTTTGGAGGCTAGAAATTTTGAGTGTGGAGTATATTTTATTGTTTCTTTGATGCACTATTTAGTCAAAATAGGGAAGTTGACAGAATGTGGTTTTATTGTACCCAAAAAAAAATCTTTTTAGAGAACCAAATTTTTGTTACTATAATTTAAAATGAAAAGTGTGATGATTTTATCTAAACAAAGCTGCACTGTTGCTTAATGTAACTTAATGGACCTTAAACTGCAATTTTCAATTCATGTATTTATGCAATAGTAGAATCGAACATGCCACTATATTGACATTAAAATCCCCTCAAGATTAAGCTGTGCACCAAATTTCAGCTCTGCAACGCAAGAGATATAAGCAGAGCAACAACTGTTCCTACCATGAACTTTCATCCCTTTATATGCTATTTTCCACTATTTCCTTATGAAATAAATATTTTAAAAGAAAAATAATTTTTACTTTTGTATGGCGTGTAATTTGTGCATACAAAATTCTGCAAACTTGAAAGTGGAAAAAATAGTTTTTTGAGGAGTTAATGGAGATGCATTATGTTTAGCTGTCCACTGAAAAACTGTACCAGCCATAAAAGCATCGGGTTGGAGAAACTGGTCATTAATGTTTTCCTTAGAGAAGGAGAAGGAGAAAGAGGAAAACAAAGCCAAAGCTCCTATTTTTTCAGCTACCATCAGGGAGATTCTTCAGGACAAGGCTTGGGAGTAGTACCCCGAGACTCTACACTGACATAGTGAGTCGCTACTTCAGGTGCATCTCACAGAACCAAGAGAAGAGCAATCCACACTGGATGGACTTTCAAAGCTTTAATGCAGAAACTGACATAGGAATCTTAACTTTCTGAAATGGAAGCACTTGCAACCATAATAAACATTGAACCAAGAAGAAGAAGAAATACTATTTATAAGTAGTGCACTTATTTAGTGAAGGTTCCAGTACAAATACATTTATTTCCTACTGGAGTCTTTGGCACATTGTGATGTTTACCACTAACTTTTTATACTAAGAACATAATTCTAAATGAATTAAGCTTGTGGGAGGAGGCACCATTATATATAAATATACACAATAATCCTCCATATATAGTTTAAAAAAATGCTGGTCCAAAAAAAGTAAATCATTCTTTACAGGAATAAAAGAATGCAGTCATCAGGCTGACAGTAATCATTTCACTTAGATTATAATAGAAAAATATTTCATGAACATAATCCTTGAAAAAAAAATTTAAAAATTCACAGATGTGTTGAACACAAGAATATTCTTTGGGCAGACCTTCCAACAAGTTATTAGAAATAGTGGTGCACTATCTCAAGTAATTTCATAAGATGCAAAATGGTTAAATATTTAAGAAGATATTCAGATATGTTTTACAAATGATAAAGAATTTGTGTAAACTATATTTTTTTTGTTCATTAGTAGGGACAAGCGCATTTATTGAACAAAATATACATTGTTGTATATGCTGTTGTTGTTTTGTGAGGAAGTTTACCACAATTCAAAGAGACAAATAATCATAATTTTAACTACCCGGTATCTGGTTCTACTTAATCTCAAATCACATTTTACAATATAAAGAAAGACATCAAATATATTGCATCAATAAATATGGCATTTCCACATTTTAAGTGGCTCTATCTTAAAACTTGGGTCATCTGTTAGTCCGCCAATAAGAACGATACAAAGCTCAGAATCTCCCAGAACACTATTTTTAGCAGGTGTGGGCGTGGTGGCCTTTGAGGAACAGTCTTGAACAGTGGACACAAATATTTCTCCTCCTGGTTTTGATGTTAAGAAGTGATTGTACCTTGTGGTGTTGTCTGTCCTCACGGCTGATGTCTGTGTTCCTTTTGAGTGATGATTAGCTTCATAGAGGATTCTTCCATCCACTTCCACAGACTGTTTCAGGCCAGCGGTTTTGGCTACATCATTAGAAACAGAGTTGAAAACTTTATGCTTCCATTCCTTCCTAGATTCATTAGAACATTTCTTCTCAAAATCAGGCAAATATTCCAGAGGGTCTCTTGACACATCACAAGGGATCAAATTTCCACAAGATTCAGAAAACCGTTTGTTCATCATGTTGTTTAACTCTTTCCCTGAAACATGGTGGGGGAAATTGCTCACATCTCTCAAAGAGCCTTCGGATGCAGTTAAAGCAGATTTTAATTTCACATTATTAAACAGTTGCTCAATATCACAAAATTCCAAATCTTCAATTGTCAAGTCTTCTAACTGTTTTGCCCTCAGAGGTGAAGTTTTATCCCTAGGTATGATTGTAAATTTTCTCGGTTCAAAACTGACAGTGTCACTTTTCATATTAGTTGAGCTGATCTGAGAAACTGATGACTGCTCTGAATCTATTGGCTTGATGTCATCATACAACTCCATGTAATACGGATTCACAAAATGGTGATTAGTAACTGCTGAACTAATTTTGGAAGATGCGTCTTCTTGAGTATTACCTTTCTTTTGATGAAATATTTTTGAAGATGATTTTTGCACTTGAGGTATATTATTTTCACATTTTCTGGGCACAACACACATGGATGAGCCTGGTAAAACAAAGGCATCAGGATCTTTTGTTGCGACAGTTGAACTGTTAAGATTTGTAAATGTATTGAGTATTTTATTGCCAAATAAGTCTGTTTCTCCATAAATATCAACATTTTCATCTGATATTGTTAATGTCATATTATTTTCTCCCATGTCAACATCAGAAACTACGGAATGAAATCTTTGCAGCAAGGGAAGATCATCGCTGCTGTGTTCAACAGAAGCTGGCCTCAATCTCCTAGCTGTCTCCCTTTGACTTCTTTCCAGCAAACCACTACCACCAAATTCCTTCTTTGCATAATCTAAATCATTGGTGTTTCCATCACTTCTACAGTCCATAGTGCTGAATGATGTTTCTGCTTCTGAACATAAACTAAATCCATCACCTCTTCCCTTTTCATTCATGCTCCCTGCTTCTATGGTATCCATTTGAAGAATATCCACTTTAGTTGTTTTGGCTTGTCTAGTGCTTGGAGAGCTGACATCAGTAGCATCCATTGCTGGGCTTGTTTGAGGTCTGACCGTTTCCAGCATGGACAGGGCTGTTTTTGTCCCCAACAGCGGGACAGAACGTGTATGGTCTGCGTTTATGGCTAGCATCTTCGATGCTTGTAGCAGGACTGAAGTGTGGAGTGATAATGGAGGGTAAACGTCCCCATATTGTGTGGTCACTTGTTTCCAGGTCTCAGTGTCTGTGGAAGTTAATCAAGCATGAAGTCTTTGTTTAAAAAAATTAAAGAACTGTGCTGTAAATAAGTAATAAATATATACATAATATTGTAATAAAATAAAATTTAGTAAATAATTACAAATACATAGTGGTATGATGAGCTTACAAAGAAATAAATTAAAGTTAGAAAAAAATATAGTGTGATATGCTTTGATAAAATTTATAACATATGTTAAAAATCTATTTCACTATACTTCTAATGAATATAGCATAAAATGTTACAATGATTAATGCCCTAAAAACTTGTACAAATTACTGAAAATTTATCTCACCAAATCTAAATATCCAGATATCATGCATGAGTTGACCAGCTCTTGTGCCACCAAGCAATACAAGTGAATTGTCCAACTGAAAATTTAATTATTTTTTGTATAAGACTTTTAAAATGAAAAGGAATTAAAAGTAAAACTGTTACTAAGCTTAAGTTAAAAATCTAAATTAAAAAAGTTAAATCTAAAAAACATAAAGGAAACGTCTGTTGTAGACATGTGAAGTAATTAAAATGAAAAAAAAAAATCATCATTTCCCATTCAAACAAAAATATATCCCACAATCCCGTAATTACAGCAGAAAAATTTCCATCAAAGGAACTCTCACCACATGAGCTGTGTGATTTGATAATGTTGGACACATCCCCACACCTTTGATCTTAGTCCAGGTACACATGGCTAAAATAAGAGGGAAAGATATTTAAAAACTAATAAGCTTGGTTAATATAAATTTCAAATAGTTTTTCAATATATATTTTTTTGCAAGTCACTGTGCACATGGACCTTTTAAAAAAAGAGAGTTTGAATACTTGGCTACAGGTAGAAATAAATCCTTTCACAAGCTGGACAGAATATATAAGCAAAAGGGAATGTCTTTAAAAAAAAAAAGCTTATGAAATTTAAAGGCTACCTTTGAATACACAGAATAACACAGTAATTAAAATTTTGTTGGTGAAATTTTGTAAATAGATGATAAAAAAGATTGATTAAGTATTTTTTGTAACCCCCCTCAGAAACAGCATAAGACGACATAAAAAGCTTAAAAGTTCACAATCTTTATTTGCTTAGCCTTGTGAGTTGGGTATAAGCAGGTTGTTTTTTGGCCTCGGGGTGGTGGAAGCCTTTAGGTATATATTTTGGTAGTGGTACAATTGAAGAAAATTGTAAGGTCACTATGATATTGAGGTCCTTGCTAAATATAGTAAGCTATATGAGACAGTCCTGATTGTTATGGAAATTAAGTTTTTTGTTTGGAACAAACAGACTGATGAAGCAAAGGGTTTAGAAAAAAATCCATTATAGCACTTACAGAAATTAAAAGCCCAAAAGTCTGCTAAAGCAGTGAGCTCTTTCATTCCCCCATGCAGCCACATGTTGTTAGAAACAACCACAGCCACATGTCCATGCCTCTTGCCAGGTTTATGTCGTGGGATCAACTGCCACAGTTCTTCCTCTGTTCAAATTTAAATAGCACTGTTTAAAATGACATTTAATAACAGTAATATGTGCAATCTGAATCACAGACATAACTGTACAAAAAGTGAATAGTACTCATAAAAAATCATTTTATTCCATTAGCATATTAAACAGAAAATTATTTTTCATGTGGTTTACAGCAGTGGCTGAGAAACTTTAAAGTTTGGTGGACCGGTGGACAAGTATCAAAATTGCATCATTGACCAGTAGCAGATTTATTATCTTATATTTTATTTTTATTAGACCATAAATATTCATGTTGTGCGGACTGGCAGTGTAAGGCTCACCATCCGGTTCGGTTCCAGTCCGCAGACCAACATTTGGGGAACGCTGATTTAGAGTACACAAGTTATATCAACACATACCAACAGATTCTCAGGTTTAATATCAATACAGCTGGTTTTAGCAATGAATAAAGAAAACAATAATTTATAATATTAAAAAAATGAAACTCACCAATATTAAATACCCAAAATTCATCTGTAGAGCCAGAATTATCAAAAAATCCCCCATATATGTACATGGAATTCTTGTAAATCACAGCTGAATGCTCTCGTCTGCCACAAGGTTGAACTACACCAGATTCAAACCACTTACGAACAAAGTTGATATCTTTAAAAAAAAAAAATCTCAATTACTTATGGGTTTAACTGTGATATGCTTTGAAAAGACATAAAACAAAAATTAATATTTTGTTAACCAGATACTTTTTAAATGTCTAATGAAAATTACCTGTATTAAATATCCAAAGCGGTGCTTCCTCGTTCGTGTCACAAAAAGTCCCCCCAAATATCAAAAGCTCAGACTGAAATAATGTAAATGACATCACAGTATTATATAATGATATAATGAGACACATTTCTGCACCTTTTAAAGTAACAGCAAGAATTCCTTTTCAAAATAATTGTGATCCCTCTGATTTAAATAGATTTTTAGAAAGCATATTTAGATTTTTAATGGTATTTAGAAGGAATGTGAAAAACATTAAAGAATTAAGCAAACATATCCTACTGCAACTATTATAAATAAATACCTTATAGGACAACATTGTATGACCTTGGAGATGAGGAAGCTTTGATTCTTTAAATTCAATCTGTTCCCATTTTTGAGTAGCTATTTTAAGACACACATAATTTTTTTTTTTTTTTAAAATCAGAATAAACAAATTAAAGAAATCATCAGTTATTAATTATAAGTATATATCAGTAATGAAGTTATTATTGTTTAATCTTTTTTTAAATTGTAGACAAAAAAAAGAGAACTATTGACCCATAAAAAATCATAGACATAATCATCCCCAATGTGGACTTCTGTTATAGTACACAAATTATTGCATATTTTGAAAATCAGCAAAGACGCAAAAATGAATTAAAAAGATTTATCTGTTATTAGATATTGATTAAATACATCCTAGTGTCTCCAAGTCCCTACCCAAAGCAATTTCCCACTCATGTATTTTGCACTGTTGTGACAACATTATCAAATTAATTTTTATTCACACTTCATAATTTATCATGAATTTATGAATCATAATTTTACAACTCTCATGGATTACCTATATCAAGTCTCCAGAAGTCTTTAAGGGGCGAATATCTGTCTTTCCCACCGAATATATACACAAAGCTTTCGTGAACACAGGCAGCATGATGAAACCTGCCCCGAGGATACCCTGCCACAGCGTTTTCATCACTGCCGATAGACTTGACCCTTTCTGTGCTCTCCCTGACATCTTTGCTCCCTCCACAAGAGACACACAACCATTGAAACTGTTGACATGAGTTCAATTCACAGTGGTTGACTTTCATCGAGTTTCTTACACTTGAATGACCTAAGTCACCTGAAAAATATTTTATGACTTATAAATTTGTTTCAGTCATGAAGCTAGATATGGTTTGTAATTTAAAGTATGGGTCAATGATACGTAAGAAAAGATTATTATTTTTAAATGGTCAAATCATAAATCTAAATATATTCATAATCTAAAGAGTTATTATTTGTTGAAAAATACAGAAGAATTTATAATTTTTATGGTTAAAACATAATAGAAACTTTCTAACAATTTTATCAAACAGTTTGAGTAAAAGAATAAAATAGTCTTTTCAATTAAACGTTAAGATAACTGAAATTTAAAAATATGCCATCTATCTAAAAAATTAAAATTTCTTGCCTGTGCTGTGGACTGGTTCCAGAGCAAGACTGAAAAGAAACAGTTGAAAGAAATCAATAAGGCAGAACTAGCCCAGTTTCACAGTGTGGCATGCACTTATAGATTTGCTAGAGTTTGACAAGCTATTAATAGTAACATTCAAGGTTGTAAATACCAAGCTTCAATGAGCACCCAATATGCTTAAGTACCATTTAATGCATGTAAACTTTCAATTTCAATATTTAAATCAGAAACACACACATTTATGTAAATAAACTTACACGTGAAATGCTTAACAAATAAAATGATGTCCATTGTATTTATATTTTTTTAGTTCTTAAAAAATGTGCCTTTAAACAAAACTCAATAATTACCATGATCATTCAAATGAATTACATGATAGTTTTCCTACTAATATGCATTACTGAGGGCTAAAATTATGAACAAATGAAATTATAAAAACATAATTTTAAACTCCAATTCATTAACAAATGCGGGTTGCCTGTACTACCTGCATCAAAATGCCACTTAAAAGTCACACTGGCTTTGGAGACAAAAGTGCAGATTTCTCACTAAATTTTTAAAAAGTTGTGGTAACGACTCAACAAAAAGTCAGTAGATAAGCATCTCACATAAAAAAATTATTAAAAATATATATATATATATATCTAAAAAGTGTTTTTCTTGTCACTGTTACTGTTAATATAAATCAAAATTGAAAAAATGAAATATGTTCAACAAGCTTGACCCATTGAGACAAACCTAATAATATGGCAATATATACAGTACACATTTATGATAGGATAAGCCATTATTAAAAACAAAATGACAACATGAAGTTATTATAACCATGTTGAGATTATGCAGGATACATAGAAGACATTCAAGATATTAAGATAAAGAGCATGCAAGCTGTATTTAAATAAATACTCATGTAAAAATTGCATTAAAAATCATTTAAATTTTTCTTATATCAAGCTGCAGAGTAGTTAAAAAAAAATATTTATAATATGTTATTTTTCTTTACATGAGGTTAATTTAGTTGGGTTTCACATTTGGAAAAAATCTTTCAATCAATTTTTAACCAACTCTTCAGAAACCCTTTTCTTGATTATTTGCACATATGCATTTTCCAGGATACAATCCCATAGTAGCTTTTGGCCCAGGGCTTATCTTCATTTGTATGCCAAGAATGCAAAGCTTTCTTGCATATATACTTTATGACATATTCATTTAACCCTGAAGCCAAGTAGCTTAAATGTTCAGCAGGTTGAGTTAACACAAAAAAATCAACTTAATCTTTTAGTTCGTAGCCATGGAATGCTTTCTTGCCCATGAAAATATTTGTACAGTCTATATTATATGAAGGCAATGAATTAAATTTCAATAAGATTGGAAAAATAATAAATAAGAATTAATTTGGTTCATCTGTCACTGTCATTTATTTGAGTTGAATTTCCTGGTAGGGTTGCTAACCATCCTTAAATTTACAGTCTCTAAAAATGTGTCATAAAAATGGCTTGCCCATTACTTTAAAAAAAAAAATTGTTACTAAGTCTTTTATAATGTGTCCATCAATAATAGATTTGTCAGTAAAAATAATGAAGCTTTAAAATACTAAGCATGTGTCTGTAAATTTTCATTTATTGTGTTGGCAATCCTACTTCCTGTTTATCTCTTGAAATTGACACCAACTTTTTATGAGCAAATTTTCTTTTTCTTTTCAATCAATCTATAATATTTTACTAATGGTATTTACCCAAGAAAGCTTTTATCCCCAAAGGTTCATTGTCCTGTTTTGGATTTTTCTCAAGCTTTTCCGTAATGAGTGCCTCATATTTCCAGACATACAAATAAATCACAGTCTCACCATTAATAATCTTGGGCCTATTATACTACTGATGCAACAATATAATATACCAAAATATATAATTATTTAGTGTACAAATTGTAAATATATTTACAAATATGTTGATAAAGGTCTAAAATATACATAAAATAAAAGTAAATCAGAGGTTCCTGGTTGAATGTTTAAATAAATTATGTGCTTAGTTCTTTGAAGCCTTTAAGATTTAACTAAAAGGACTAAAGATCTTAAAATGTAATAATAATACTTAATACTTAATTTTGGTGTCCTAGGCTAGAAAATATAATTAAAAGCCCTTGACCAAAAGGAAATGACTGATGAACTTTTTAAAAAAGCCATGACTGAGGGGAAGCTGCAATACTGAAAAACATTCATGAATCAACAGTACTTTGAGTAAAAGTACAGCACAGTAATAGTGTCTTTTGATTGAGAATGGCTAACTTACTTTGAACAAATAAATAAATAGGGTGGTAATCAGTGGTAGGCCATTATTATATTCCAAAACCTATAAGGTGTTGTCAACAATGCTAATATTATTAAACTGAAAAGAAGTAGCCACTACACTGACTATAGACTACACATGATTTTCTGCACCAGAGCTCCGCAACGGGTGTGCCCCAGCACACTGGTGTGCCGCGAGATGTGGCAAGATTCCTCCAAAGGGATGAAAAACACAGAATATGATATAAATTTGTTAAAACAAAAGGGACAATGATTGGCTAGTAACAAGCTGTCAAATTTTTTAGTCAAATAGCACAGCACATCTACTTTTTTAATTTGGCAGGTCATGTGACAAAGTCACCATCTCGTGTCTGAAGTGATGAGTTAAATATGTCTTGTCCCTTTGACCTTTGGTCACACTTCTCATGCATGTACATAATAATTTGACTAGGTTTTGATTAAAATGGTTTCCCTCTACGACAAATGAAAACCAACCCAACACAAACTAAGCCTCCATCAAGTCGAGACTGAGGTACCGAAGATCTTTCATCTGATTTCTTGATAAAGTGAAACAAGCATTTATCATGCGACATAATTTGTATGTATATATATATATATTGCTTTTGGTTTTTTTTTGGTTGTTTTTGACATTGAAATAAATATGTTAACTTTATATAAAAATGTCATAATTAAGTTATTGGTCACAGGTAGGTGCTTTTATTTGTATCAAACGAATATTTTAATTGTGTGTTTGAATAGTAAAGTTTCTTTGCGTTAAATCAGTATACATATTGAGTTTTTAAGAATTTAATTATAAAATTACCAGTTAAAATTATGGGAACAAGCAGTTAACTGAGTTTAAAAAAAAAAAAAGTAACAAGGCAGTTTTTTAAAACTATGTTCCTTTTGCTTTAGCTCTATTGATATTTTTGCTCATGTAGATTTCACGTAGATAACGATAACAAAATATAAAAACACACATTTAAAAGGTTTGTACCTGTAAAATAAAGTAAACCAGTTTAGTTTTTTTACATTTAAATATTTTATCGTGGTGTGCCACGAAAATCTGGGAAGGGCCTATATATTTTATAGGTGTGCCATGATGGAAAAAAGGTTGCAGAAAGCAAAAAAGGTTGCATTACTCTGGTCTACATTTAGTATCATTTGCAGTATAAACAGTCCTGCACACAACAGTAACACTAGTAACAGTAACAGTGACACCAGTATAGTAGGCCTAGTTTATAATTTCAATATGATGAACACACTTAAAGTACAGTGCACAATCAAAATATATATTTTAAATTTTTGAATATGTGAATGTGACTATCAAAACTATTATTTATTTTAATTAGCAGATTAAAATTAAGATTATAAGATTTCCAGACTGATATGTATAATCATAATGTATATTTATAATATAAATATAATTATTTAATATATAAAAATCATAACAAACATATAAGATTTGGTTCACTAATAGTTACTTCAATTAATATTTTTGCTTTTGTTTACAAAAATATCCTTTAAAAAATGCCCCTTTCCTTCTTTTTACAATTAATTATCATTCTAAAATTATTAATACTAATAACACTGATAGTAATTTAAATTTATTAATAGACATTACCTAGTGATAGTGCCTAGTCAGTCATGTCATAGTTATTTATTATTATAGTATACATGACATGACATAATAGTAATAGTAATAGTCCAATCACAATCAAATCCAAATTTAAATAAGAAAATAAAATACGGTCAATACACTATCTCTTAATTCGATTCCAATCATAAGTTATAAGTCAACAATACAAATGTTTTAGTGTTAAATTCATGATCTTGATCTCCATATGAACAAGTTTGCTTGTTTACTAGTGTAACTAAACGAACCAACTCGAGAAGAAGATTGTCTACTACTCACTGTACTGTATTAGTATTGTATTATTATGATATTGGTACGCAACTCGTGATAAACAAACCTACTCGTACTTCATGTAAATTTTGCTTGATAATAAACTATCACTAAAATGCTAACTCGGTCGATGAAATTAAACAGCCCTTCCAAATCGGTTTGAATAACCTACATTGGCAAGTCAGTTTAATCCAGACTAAGAATCCTGAAGTGAATGCGAAGTCCGTTGTTAATGACGCAGCCGCTGGGGGCTACAAGTTCTTCACTACAGTCTACACGCCTCACGGGAAGATGTCAGTAGCACATATCCGTGATTGCGTATCTGATTATCAACAAACCGATCGGATCGATTGCGCAATGCAACTAGTGGATTATGTTACTAGTTACTTGAAGATATGACCCGTGATTATAATGGAAGGCTTATTGCGCTACTTTTTACACGCTATTGCGAAGTCTCAATATCTAAAGATGTTTTTTAATGATTTTTTTAACGTATGTTAGTATTGTTAGTATGTAACTGGATCAGGTTTTGAAGCATTTAATAGTAATTGCATCGTTAAAAAAAAAGAAAAAAAAAAGAGAGAGAAAAAAAAGATTTTTTTTGTGTTGCATTTTTTCCAAGTCAATGAAATGTATATCTATTAAATAGTAAATCAGACTTCAAAATTTTTAAAGACGCGTCTATGTTTGGATGTTTGCGTTTGTAACATCAATGGATTTTGAGAAATGTTTATAATATAGTAGGCCCTGCCCTATAGTATATAGCCCTACACACGTTTACACACGCTCCTAAACCACAAAGAAAACACATTTTCTAAAAATTGGAAAACATCCTTAAAATTTAAAAAAAAAAATCTATGTACCATTTTAAATATATGTAACATTAACGGTGAGATATTGCATTATCTTCATTACAAATTCACCCAACCCTTTTCTTCGCTTCTGAGGTCGAGGTTTTATCGGAAAATTGTTAAAATATAGAATTTTTATTTTAAAAAGTTTTATAAGAAAATTCTTAACCAATTTCCTCTTTTCTGCAACATTCGTGCTTTATTAGAAACATTAAAAAAAAATTAATAATCTCCTATAGATTACCCGCACTTTTCTATGAACTGTATCTTGCGCAAAATGGAAAAAACAAGTAGGCCTAATATATTTTCACAGAAAATGGTAACCATAGTTGTTCACGCCCCTGAACTACATTTTCGGGGAAAAAAAATTATCCTGGCATCTGAACTGTATCTTTGGAAAAATAGGGAAATCTCGATGTCCTTAGTTTTAAAGAAAATCGTATCCACCATTTTCCACTTTCCAACTTCATTGATGTTTGCTTCATGTTTGTAGGGGCCCAGCCTTATGTGAATGTGCCCACAGTGAGTCAACGCCATTGAATTGTATTTTCTAATCTTGGTATAATAATAACACATATTTATTTATTTGCGTGTTACCATTCAAAGAGAGGTCCGCTGAGACGAGCATATTAACAATGTATGTAACCAAGCAAACAAGACCCTTGGGTTCTTAAGGCGTATATATAATGATTGGCAATTCCTGTGTGAAAGAAAGAGCATATAAAGCCTTTGTCCGTCCGGTTTTAGATTATGCACCTTCAGTCTGGGACCCATTTACCCAGAAGACATTGACAGGTTGGAGGCGGTCCGGCGACGGGCAGCACGCTTTGTCCTAAACCGCTACAGGAATACCTCTAGTGTTGGCAGCATGCTGGAAACACTAGGCTGGTCACCATTGGAGAAACGACGACGACTATCCAGGCTCTCCATGATGTACAAGATAAATAATGGGCTGGTCCACTGTTCCAGTATTAAATAGAAACTCGCCCCTCTCCCCCAGAGACAGCGACGAGGCCATGACAGGCAATTCAGGCTCATACCAGCAAGAAGCCAGTATAGGAGCTGCTCATTTCTGCCCAAGACAATCAGGGACTGGAACAATCTTTCAAAAGGAACGGTTGAGGCGACAACACTAGACACATTTGTGTCTATTGCCTCAAGCCTTCAAACCCCCAGTTCATAATTCTCTCACAAAGTGGCACTGGAAATCAGTGAAATGTCCTCAGCAACACCAGGCACAGAAACATTGCAAATCCCCTTTACATGCATAAGAGCCAAAATGATCAATAAATTGATCGTGGGCCCTTAATATATAGAAGAAGAAGATTTCAAGCGAAAATACAAAACTTCTTTTTCACGACTGTAATAATATCATCACATTTTAAGATATAGGCCTAAGTTATCCTCATAAAAATGTAAACACCGCCTGTCTTCTTCCTGAAATGTGTTTTCTGAAGGCTAAATAAACTATAGATATAGTGCATTACTTTGTAAAACTAGTTGTATACCGATTACCGGTGTTTACCATACTTCGACTTAGAGATATCGCTATAGTTAAAAAATACGACCACCTAAACTGTGGCCTATCGTGTGCTGCCTGGGGGGGGGGGAGGGGGGGGCCCACAATAAAAACAAACGCATCCCCCCTCCCCAACACAAATATATATTTTAAAATTCAGTTTGTAATAGAAATATCCATTAATTAAAGCACCACCTGGAAGGTACACCCTATGCACGTCATCACAAACTTTGTGCACGCCCCTAGACACAAAGAATACATTTGATCATTGTTAGTTTGTTCAAATAGTTCCTAAGTATATTTTCTTATATTTAATGAACATGGTTATCATTTTAAAAGTAAAATAACTCCAAAGATAAAAATCTGAAACCTAATCGCATTTGGAGATTATACGGACCGATATTTAGCGCACTTTGGCTTTGTGAAGTATATGGGATTTATAGCTTAATTAATTCGCTATTAAGTTCCTATCTAAAGACGATTTTAGTGCCCCCATGATTTCGGCGCCCGTTGCTCTTCGCGACATTCTCATAGCAGCCCCGCCCGAGAGAACCGGACACCCAGGACTATGGGGCGTATACTCTGGGAACCACTGGGCTCACCGAACAGCCAGCGGTGAAAACCCGTGACACGTGGTGTTTCTGAAATGTCATAATTATAAAAAAAAAAATTGTTGGATTTTGTTGGTTATTTTTTTTCGGGGGCGGCCGGGAGGCGGGGGGGTGTCGAAAGCACTTTGTGAGTAAGCAAAAGTGGGGTGAGGTCGTAAAAAAAAAAAAAAAAAAATTTTAAAAAAAAAAATTGTTGGATTTTGTTGGTTATTTTTTTTTCGGGGGCGGCCGGGAGGGGGGGGGGTGTCGAAAGCACTTTGTGAGTAAGCAAAAGTGGGGTGAGGTCGTAAAAAAAAAAAAAAAAAACTACGCGTGCAACAGGTGGGAGGGGCGGTCAAAGATTTGACTTTTACTTTTTTGTACATTATATTATGGCCCCTTAACTGACATTAAACATTTTTAGTTATTCTATTTATCCAGCTGTCATCAAATGACGGCATTCGCCCAAAACCACGCCTTTGATGATTTCTGTCCAAGGAAAGGTTACGACGTGGTCTGTTTCCTGGTCCGTGGCTAGGGCACTACAAATCCAACTTATTTTTTTTTAATTACACATCGTAATGGTTGAATGAACTCGTTGGTTGTATGCTTTCAAGATTTCATGTAACAGGGGCTTTTGTTTTCCGTTCTCGTCGTTCGCTCAAAAGTCACCTGTTGATCATAACCATCCTAGAAAAAATTTTCGGTGGGTGTCATTTACTCATTTCCCTTGCCTTACTTCTTCCTCTTCTCCGCTGCTACAACTACACGCTACTGTGCGTTAGAGTATCCCTGTTCTTTTACCTGGCTGTCCCCGATCTATACATTTTTACTTACGTTTCCGTGTTATATGCTATGCTGTTCCGTGACCTAAACCACGCGCGCCAGTAATGTCTAGCTCAAGCGTAATGGTTGCTAAGGTAACCATCGAAACTTCTCATTCCGGAAGCCATTTTTGTAAACGTAACTTGAGTTCATTATAATTTTTTAAAGTTAAATTTAAAAAAAAAATATTTACTTTCGAAACTGTTGAAATGTAAGTGTTTATTAACTGACGCACTGAAAACCCATATTGAAAACATAGTGAAAACATATTGAAAACATAGTGAAAACATATTGAAAACATAGTGAAAACATATTGAAAACATATTGAAAACATATTGAAAACATATTGAAAACATATTGAAAACATAGTGAAAACATATTGAAAACATATTGAAAACATATTGAAAATATATTGAAAACACATTGAAAACACATTGAAAACATATTGAAAACATATTGAAAACATATTGAAAACATATTGAAAACACATTGAAAACATATTGAAAACATATTGAAAACATATTGAAAACATATTGAAAACATATTGAAAACATACTGAAAACATATTGAAAACATATTGAAAACATATTGAAAACATATTGAAAACATATTGAAAACATATTGAAAACATATTGAAAACATACTGAAAACATATTGAAAACATATTGAAAACATATTGAAAACATATTGAAAACATATTGAAAACATATTGAAAACATATTGAAAACATACTGAAAACATATTGAAAACATTTTGAAAACCCAATACCCTTATTTTCTTGCAGGTCGATATGACTGGCAGGTGATTGTTTGACATGCGGCAGCGGAACATTATTATTGTATTTAATATCTCCGTTGTCAATCAGGGTGCACTGGAATATTTAAGTGCGCACGTCGAGACGCCAAAACATGTTAAGAGTGTTCTAAAAAAAAAGCAACAAAAAATAAAAAAGTCAAAGTTTTTCGTAACACCATGTTCGAAGAGCGATGAATCCGTTTCAGCAGCTGAAGGCATATTATATATTGGCGTTTCACGCTATCAAGCACCATCAGATCTGTAAATCAATGGACTGGAATGGTCGCTTATTTAAAACCAATTTAACCTGATTCTGATAATGCAAGCAAAAATCAATTCAGCGTCATAAAATGTAATGTGTACTGAACACTCGCTAATACTAGTTTATAATTAAAACTATTTACAAGTAGAACACTAGATCATGTATTTTTTTTTTTTTTTTTTTAAATGTAGTTTAATTTTACTTTTATTATTTGTACACCACTTTTAACATTGGCGTATCATAGGAGCCGGCTATGACTATGGGTTGTTAACCGAATTTGATGAAAATTGTGTGTCCTCTTTTTATCTGAGCACTTATGGTAACCCTATTCTGGTGACACCCTGCTCTGGTGACACCATGCTGTGGCAGCAATCTAATCATCTGGTGTCACTTTGCTTTCGCATTTAGCTACGATC